CAATTTTTTGAAGTCATATATTTTTTAAAAATCGATAGTTTGTGGAATTTCTTATAAATAATGTCTTGGAAGTTCTTGAGTCTCATGGTTTCTTTATTTTCTGTGATCTTTCTACAAATTGAGTCAAATACAGTGCTGCCATATTTTCTCACAAAAAAAAAGAAAAAGTTTCTGAATTTTTCTAATTTTCTTCCGAATGCTGAACTCTTTTAGATCCCAATTTTCTTAGTAACGAAAAATATGGCTATAACTTGTTATTGTAATGATGTTCAATTTAAAACAAGAATGAATAGTTATTATTCTCTTATTCATATTTTAACTGAAATATACCTGTTAAAGCAAAATCGAAAAATACAAAATATGAGTAATAATATCACATCGGTATTATCTAATTTATTTTTCTTTTGTAGAATTATTCAATCTAAATGATAGTTTGTTTTCGTATATTTTTTTCAATGAAATTTCGACTCTATAGTGGAATACCTATGAATATAAAGTATAGGTCGATTAAAAAAAAATACTAGTAAAACATTTAAGACAAGCATATTAACATAACAACTAATAATTTATAAAAGAATGTTTTTTCTGAATTATTTCTAATTTTGCTCAAAAAATTTTTATACATAATAAATAATGTATCAATATTAAACAACACATCAAAATAATTCATTTTATTTTAAGATATTGAAAAAAAAAACATCGACTATATTCAACTAGTTATATCTTAGATTCTTTTATATAAGTATATTAGAAAATTGACTTATACCTTTACTTTTTTCTCTTGATGATAAACATTGGATTGACATATCATTAATCAAACCTACTTTTTTTTAAGATAATAATAATAAATCAATGTTAATGTTGACCATTATCTTTTTCTATACATTTAGATAAAAAGAAACATAAATATCAATAAGATGTAATCGATAAAATACCAATGAAATATAATTTAAATCAGAATTATATTAGAAATAATAATTCATTTTATTATCATTTACTACTGTTTTGAAATATTGGCCTTCCTTATGTCCGTTGAAATAGGTTGATAATACAAAATGTAATAAAGATAAGAGAGCAATACGAAAAATGCAAAGACACTAAGCACGAATATTGTCAATATAGATTCGAACAATATAACTTATTTCAATTTTCAATTATATTTATTTAAAAAGAAATATTTTTTTTTCAAAAAGAAAACACGAAATCATATAACTGTATATTTATTTAATTCATCATTTATAAACAATTTCATTTTTTAATCATAAATTCAAGCAGCAAGTTTTTCATAATAGAATCAAACTTGAAAACTAATAACTAATGGACAAATATTTATATATTTTTCTTTCAATATGTAGGAAAACGTTCGACAATGATTTGTTTTTAATAATTCCAACATACTGAATAATTTTCATCTTTAATTGTGGTTGTTTTTATAGATGTTTATTTTAATTTATTTCGATAAAATAAATCGAATCGTATTAAGTCTAGTGACTGTAAAGTTTATCAAAGTATTTTATCTGTTTTTAAACGACTGTTCATCAAACTTATCGATGTAAAACAGTTTTAAACTATTTTCAAGAGTATAAAGTACGAATATGACCATGGATGCAGAGACGATGAGCATCCACATCCATGTTTTACACCCAATTTTCATGCCAGGATCATAGATCAAAATTTGAATCAGTGAATGGAAATTCACTTTTGATTGCTACCAAATAATATCAGATCAAAAGTGAAAAAAACTTTAGGAATCAACAATATAGCATCCTTTCTTTTAGTCATAAAGCACTAGATTATGGGTTCGTTAACCTTGTGGTCTCTAGATATCCATGTAGAGTTGAACTAGAAGGCTGAAACTTTCAGAAAGTTTGAAAAATAATAAGAAGTATTGGCAAAAGAATTTCAGGAAAATTAGTGAAGAATATCTGGCTTTATTCTAAAATTACACTTCTTACACAAATGGTACAATAGCTATACAACTGATCCAAATCGTAGAAATCCTTTCAAACTTTCATTTTCATTGAATCTCTAGCCAATTGCCTTGATTTGACGTTTCAGATGTGTTTGAACGTTCCTGGACGTATTTTTTAAAATTACTTTTGAGATATTTGCCTCTACAAGCGTTCATTGTAAGATCTTTGTCTTTTCTCCAATCCTCTTCTACTTTAGTCCATTTTGAGTGGCGAAAATCTCAACGTTCAAACATACATCTATATAATAATATTATATGAACTATATGTCTCCAACTTCAAGCAATAGAGTGCATCTTTGAGTAAATACAGAAGAACATGTAATTTTGACACAATATATTTAAAAAAAAAAAGCACTCTGCATGCGCATGTAAAATATGCGACGACAACAACGAAAGCTCGACGGAAGAAAGAAAGAGAAAAAAAGACTTTATCTGTATACAAGTTGCTATTAGCAGCAAACAAATACCACATTACTTTTTGAAATAATTCCTTCAGTTGTGTTTTTTGCGTTGTTTCATTGGTAGGCGTAATTCTTCGACAACAGTGAACCAATAATGGCAACAACGAATTCATCTAATTTGATTGAGACTGCTTTGACTACATGCGATAGTATTGCGATTTTCAAACAATTTCTGTCGAAAACTCAAGGTTCATGCAAACAAGACCTCGAGTCGTTATCACAGATACTAGAAGAGATTGACAGTATTTTAAGAACAACTCCTAATTCTGATTTTCAAGTCAATTCATCATTTTGGAGTCCATGGTTTTCTATATTACATCAAACATTTGATCAATTAGCAGATCTCTTAACTAAAAATATCAAGAAAAACAAAAAATCTCTTGATAAAAATTTACATAGTCAAATTCAAGAATATCAGCAACAATTCTCTGTCCTTATTGACAATTACAAGGTCCATTCACAAAGTGAAAGTAAGAAAGCAACCGCATTAAGAAAAACATCATGACGGTTAATCAATTTTCCGTGACAATGGTTTGATATTATAAAAAGTCATCTATTGCCATATGAGAAGATACTCCCTCTCTTCTTTGTCAAAAAATCGAAAGATGTATTCGAAAATGAGAGTTCTCTAATCAGACCAAAAAAATTCAAAACTGTTTTCTAAAGTTTCTGTTTCGTTTTTGGATTCAAATATGCTATCAAAAAAAGGCTTATAGACTTGTTCAATGATAGCCAAACACTTTCTATGTATTAAAAGAGAACTACGTAAAACGGAAGTTGAGGAGTATACTTGTCATAAAATATTATTGTGCTTGAAAATGCATTTCATTCTTTTCACGCTTGAATGAAAAAGACGTACTCTAAGAGTAGCAGACAAAAGTCTCTCACCTAGTAGATCTCAGTTTTCATAGATGCAAGAGATCTCGAAATTTTCGTTTGAAACTGATCGATATATAAATATCTTTATTTTGTTCTGTGCTCACCAAATTTCATCATGATATTTTTTATTTCCACAATGCATCAAATCGCTAGAAAAAAAAATTGGGTTCTACATCAATATTGTAACATAAATACCAGAAGCTAATTTAAAAGCTCAACGAGATGACTTTTTACTTATGCCAGTTTAGTTCTATGGAATGTGCAAAGAGAACAGATAAGGGAATTATAAACATATTTGATGCAGAACGCTGGAGTGAACAATAGTGCGCATGTTAAGTTTGTACTGTATTCGTACTAAGTACTGGATTCATCAACCGATGTAACATGCACGTAACTGCAATGTTCATTTTGATAATCTATGTATGTACATCTATTCTCTACATGTTTTCCAAGCTTGAGGACAAAGACTAGATACAAAGTGTCGAACGGATGATTAGTTCATCTTCGTACTTGTTTTCGCTTATAATCCTTATGAATAGCAGAGCATCGTGTTATTTTTTTTCACATGAAATCATTGTCTCCTGTAAGTGTCGTTCTTAAATGTGTTGTAGTGCTTCTGCTTATGGTTTCTCATAAAAGATACATGTGAAAACAAAAACTTGATTTAATTTCTCAAAATAAAATCTTTGACTAGGTCAGTTGCAGAATCGACAATGACAATAGGAATCCAATTTCTCCCATATAGTCTATCAAAAAAGACGAATTCCTCTAAAACTTTTCGACAGTTTGTGTTATCGGCATCGATATGAAACTGTTACAGGTCTACACATGCTGTACCAAGAATGCAGATCAGAGACATGCAGTCATTCTAATTGCTTCAAATTTTTTTCATCTGATAAAGTTATTTTTATGTTACTTTTTATCAATTACATGACTCACGCTCGGAATTTTAATAAATAACTGAGTTTTTCTTTCGAAGAAGATTTCTCTCTCAGACTTGTGAGCAACCAATGTTGAACTAAAGATGAAAATTCTCTCAAAGCTTAAGCTTGATTTATTGAATTATTATTGAGTAGGGATGCAGCAATGTCGATTCTAACCGAATATTAGCAGTTCCGGCTTCAAGTCCCAACAAGTCTGATTTTTTGAGATTGGCTAAAACCAGAGTTAGTGCAGTGATGTCAAATAGAATTCAAAGGTTAAAAATTTGCGCCTGATTCTATATTTTTTCGATTTTCCGTTTTTTTTGGCAAAGTGACAAAATATACATAATTTGTTTTATTCATTTTGATTAGGAAAAAATTGATTCATCATTAACCGATTGCTATTAGAATATTACTTAAGATTTCGTTGTTTCCGATCAATAATTCTTGTTAAAAAATTACTAGCTTACATTTAAATCATATCTTTAGTTTCAAAAGAAATACTTTTGAAAATTCGTTAAATATATGATTTAGTTTCAATTGAAAATTAGATTAAAAAAAGATCAGATAATAAAATTTTTACACTTCCTTTTTTGTTTTTTAAAATCTTTAATATATGCTCTAGGTGAAAAATGTGATTTCTTTGGCAAAGTACCACTTCATGATCAATCATTTAAACACAAGACATCGGAAATCTTAGAACAAACTGTTGACGATGTGTATAAAGATATTCAAGAATCGGTGAGCATATCGGAGACAGATATTATGATTGCCTATAAGCCGACAAATCATTACCGACATTCCTCCTGTTCTCCGCTTCCACCTCCACCTCCACCTCCACCACCGCCACCACCACCATCGAGATTAACACAACCACCATCATATGCAATGCCAAGCCGAAGATCTGTAGAAATAGCACATACGAATACTTGTGTTTGTTTATGTCGTCGTCCGCAACAAAATCAACGTCGTATGACTCAATCTGATCAGCATCCTACATCTACTTCGAAACAGCGTCTGATGATCAGCTATAACTGGGATAATCAGGCTATATGCAAGAAAATCTATGACCGTCTGCGATCAGACGGATACACAATATGGTTTGACGTTCAGAATATGCATGGATGTATCTATACAGCCATGGCCAAAGCAGTTGAACAATCGGAGATTGTTCTATTCGGAATGACTGAAAAGTACAGACAATCGGATAATTGTCGTAAAGAATTAACATATGCATGTAAGAAACGTAAAAGACTTATTCCATTAAGACTTCAAGAAAAATACGATCCGGATGGATGGCTTGGTCTTATCTCAGCTGAATTGCTCTATATTGATTTTACAAAAAAAGATTTTGATACAAATTATCAGAATTTGCTCAAGGAAATTGAATCTGATGAAAATATTTTATGAATAATAGCAATGTCAGGCTTTCATTTGTGTTAGAATAAACATTGAAAGAACAAATGTCAATTGAAGATCTGACTTTGAGTTTTTGTTCGTTTCTTCTAATTGTTTTATAGTTAATAATTCATAATTTAATTTCAGTCATTAACTGAAACCATATGAATTTATTATCTAAATATCGGTGTAATTGTCCTAATGATGAATCTATCATTAGTAGATAGAATATAGTCATTAGACTTTCTTTTTGTTCATCATTTTTTATTCTATCTTATTGTTCACTGATAATTAGGGAAATAAGATAATGCGATTGTTCAACCATTGTATTAACTTGAACAATATAAAAATCTAGTTTATCACATAATGAAAGGTAATAATCTACTTGATGAAATTATTTAGTTAACATTTCGGAAGTATCTTCCTCACTCGCATAGGTCTAGACGGTTTTTACTAACGTTAGATTAAACATTCGCATAACCCAGAGTACGGCCATCACGAAGATTTTAAAAAAATTGACATTAGGATTTTTTCACAAACGATCATCATTCTATAGATATTTCAATGTTAAATTTTAAGCACTAAAATCTACTGTAAAATAGAAAAATTATCTTGTTGAGATTAATTTTTTCAACTAATACATATTAGTGAAAACAAGTGTTAGATGACTGTTTGGGATCAATAGATAAAATACTTCCATGTTTTAAAGCTCAGTAAATAAAGCGTACCGCTGAAACGTTTTTCAAAAAGATAATGACAAGTACTTACGTGAGTATTGTTATGAGTAAAGCCTTTGATCATTACTCATAGGCTATAGCTAGAGTATGGCAATGTGGTAATCGATATTTTTTTTCATTAGAATTTAGTGGAATGAGTAAATAACTTCATCAACGACATAGACACATTTATGAAAAAAAATTAAAACTTTAAAATGAATTCAATTACAACAGAAATATGCCTCTATTAGTTATAATGTATAAAATTGTTACTCATTCTTTTGTTATATTTATTATATTTTAACAAGTACAAAATAGTAAAACAAAAAGAAGTTCAATACAATCTGATATTCAAAACTCTAATAACGTTCATGTCACTACTGGAGAAAATAGCTGCCTACTCATATAAGGTAATCTCTAATTATTTGAATGTCATATGTACATTCCATTATTCAATCAGTTCATTTCCTACTTAAAGATGGCCTTCAAAATAAACCGATGAGGAAAGTTCTCCAACTGTTCAATCGCTTTTGAATCGAGGCTATGTGAATTATGTACACTCAAATGATGCTATGAATACTCTGAAAAGAGTTCGTGAGCTGAGTTTATTCTACAGAGATACTACATTTTTATGATATTAATTAAATAAATGTCGTGGTCAACTGCCCTCACGAACATGAGAAAAAAAAACTGATTTTTGAATTTTTGAAATGAAAATTTGTATAGATATAAACCTCAAAGGTAGCAGTTGATTGTGAAAGTTTCATCTATTTTTGTTTGCGTTTATCCTGAAATAATGATATAAAATCTGCTCTTTTATATGAATAACATAAAAAAACATGTTATTACTACAATTTTCTCTTAGGATTGGATGTGAAACCTTCACAAAAAAACATTCTTATTAAGACTTGTCTCTATGCAAAGTTTTAGTTTGAAATTCACATGTCAATTTTTCTGGTGTCCGTGAGAGGAGCCACCGTAGTTATTTACAAATATTCTGTAAAAGTGTATTACTTTCGTAGCAATAAACTGAGGACACGACTAGAGACCTGCGGGAACAACTTTTTTTGGTTCCCGTTCCCGTGTTCCCGTTCCCGTATTGAAAATTTTTGTTCCCGTTCCCGCGTTCCCGTTCCCGTAACAAAAATTTTCGTTCCCGATCCCGTATTCCCGTTTCCGTAACAAAAGTTTCGTTCCCGTTCCGTATTCCCGTTCCCGTAATGCTTTGAGAATAGCCACAATGATTTCATTATTCACATTCATCAACACTACTCCTACTTGATACTAGCTTTTAGCGACATCATGTTTCTCACAATACAAGATTCCGTATATTAAAAGTAAAGTTCTGATTCAAGGCTCATAAACCTATTGAAACTTGAAACTTGAAATTTCAGTTGAAACTTGAAATTTCAATTGAATTCAAGTTTCAAGTTTGACATATATATAATCTTGATGATCCCAACTTCGATGCCGACGACGACGATGGTGGTAAAGAATATCGTGATTCTCATAATCTATGTTTGAATGAACTTGTCTGATTTTGTTCACTGATATTTGTTTTCTTTTCAATTATATTTCAAATGGTTACTGGAAATCGAATACTGTAAGATTAACAGATTTTAATGCAAACAGAAATCGGACATAGGGTTTGCCGGGAACAGAAATTTTTAATACAATTCCCGTTCCCGTGTTCCCGTTCCCGGAGTGTCCACCAGAATTCCCGTTCCCGCATTCCCGTTCCTAAGGTCTCACGGGAATTCCCGTTCCCGATTCCCGCGGGAAACGGGACGGGAAAACACGGGAAAAAGTCGTTCCCGCAGGACCCTAGACACGACATCTTTCAAGGGTATTCATAGTTCATTCGGATCTACATGATGCACATAGTCTAGATTTAAAAGCAATCGAACAGTTGGAAGACTTCCCTCATAAACTTCAATTTTTGCTGAAAATTCTGTGAAAAATAACTGAACTTCGTTTATGGATGGTTCCTTTTGAATTAAGATCAGGTGTTGCAGCATATAGGTTAGAAATAACCCGATGGTTAAATATACATTAAATTTTCTCTCTTTTATATATAATGACAAGTGTAAAATGACCTAATTTTCTTCACTATTAAATAAAAACTACTTAATAACATATTATAAGAACTTTATTATTTAGCATATCAGTCAAAGATACAAACTTGAATAAGTTTCTTTGTATAAATAAAATATTATCGCTTCAGTTTTATGTGAAGTTGAAAAAGCACTGTAAATGTGAAACTTAAGCTCCTATTTTATTACTCTTGATAAAGTTAACACAAGACGAATAGATATAAGAAATTATCTTTTGTGTAAATGATGCACGTGATAGGTGAAAGAGAATATGAAAACAAATATCTACCGTTATCTCCAAACTAATCTACTTTCTATTTTCAACAAATAAATATACACCTGCTGAGATGTGTGTTTTTATTTGTCAAAAAGGTCGATGATGAAAACATTTGAATATGATGACAAACTTCCATCTTTACCATTACCAACATTAGAACATACACTTGAACGTTATCTTGATTCAAGTATTCAAATAAAAAAAAGAAAAATCATTGGAAACTAACTATTCATTATACATATTTAGTACAAACTGTTGTCAGTGATGATGAATATATTAAGACTAAAAAAATTGTTGAACAATTCGCCAAAGGAACTGGACGTGAATTACATGAACAATTGAAGACTAATATTGAGAAGCGACAGGAAAGAAATTGGGTAAGACACGAGGAAAAAAAGAGTGCAAATAATCAAAATTTTATTGATTTTCAAATCGAAAAAAAGTTTGACATTTTTATAGCTTGCAAAATGGTGGGATGAAGAAATTTATTTAAAATGGCGATTACCAATTGCACCAGCCATGAACATGATGGGTTTTAATTGTTTAGTACCACCTAAAGCTAATTCACAACTAATACGAACATCTATGGCTATTTCCATGGTACTTGTGACACGAAATACACAACATTCACCAAATCGTTTGAAACTTTCAGGGCTTGTGTAATAGTCACTTGTAAGACTTTTTTGCTCTTGGACAAAATTTATACGACGTCTTGTTCAAGAGCTGTAGCCAAAATACCAAATACCCTCCGGAACGGTTTTTTAAAGTATCTTATTCTTTGTAACACTGCTAGTTTTGCACTACTTTGTGATATCGAAATTCTGATGATAGATTTGGATTCCTTATCATCAGGGCTATCAGAATCACTATTTTTAAAAAATTTTTGGACTCATCTCTGAACGAAGAGTCTCTGGAAACCCTTTTCAATAGCCGAGTATTCCAGGAGCAAAAACTCCATTTATAGAGAACTCTGGACTTCGTGGAACATCTCATTTGATAGAGCATCAGAAGATCTATCGAACCATATGTGCGCCGTCGGGCGGGAGTAAGATTTCACCGAGATAGGGTCTCCAGAAAACTAACATGGGGTTTTGAAAAATCATAATTTTTTTTTTGTCAAATTGGACCAAAAATATGTGAAAAAACTTTGTTTTATAGATTGTGCCGTAGTAGTACGTAGAAGATCCCTTGGATCTATCGAGATTCTACAAAGATCTCTGAAGAACTATCTTAGATTTAGGTTTACTGAATCCACGTGAGAATTTGAGAAGGATGAGAAAGAGTAACAGGAGATTACTTGATCATGGCCTTATACATGTGCATTTTTCGTCTAACTGGTCTCCTTCTGTTCTGTGTTATTTTATCTCCTGTTTTCCTTTTGTTCTGTTCTGTGTCTTGTTTGGTTTGTTTTTTAATGTATCTCTTCTATTATCGAGTAAATTTCTGCACGTACGGATATTTCGTTCTTTTTTCATTTCTTTTTGTGAATATCATATTCACTCATCAATAATACCGTGTTGTTTTTGACGTAAGTGAGAGAAAACATATACAATAATAAACACGTAAAGGTTTGAATCTATCGTTTGAAATAATGTTAATGTTGCCTACTTTAGAAGCTCGCATTATTCGAACAAAAAGTGGTATAGGTTGTTGAGTAAGAGATGCCTCGAAGCAATAAGAAGTGGTGCGCTCATCCAATCTCTCACGAAGGTACAAGAAAGTCGGATCCGGGCGCTCTTCGTCCACGTGGAGTTCGGCCTATTGATAATGATCTAGCCGCGTTCATCACACAAGAGTATTATCAAGCGGATGCGAATGTTGGATTCGCTCTATCTGAAGGTGATCTTCTATGTCGAACTTGTTACGAGACAGAGTCAACTCGATTTCATAGCAGTTTGGTCGTGGAAGTAAATTCAATAGCAGGTGATTCACCGTTATCTGCAGGGAGCCGACACATGGCAGAGACTGTCGAAACGAAATACAAGCTTGAACAGCCCAAAGAACTGCTGAATCAGGTATTCCAGATACTAGGAATTGAGAAGATTAGAGATGTGTAAGTACATCGTCGTATGTTCCATTTCTTAACTTGGTTTCCGTTTAGGCGACTGACAAATCAAGTAGACAAACAAGTGACGATGGCTATCGAACTGATTCGATCCGCGGCAGAAGCCTTGCGACACTCGGAAGACATCGCCCAGCTCTCAAGTCACTCATCGCTTAAGCTCGCTGATAAGGAATATCTTCTCGACGGTTTCAAGTTTTTAATAAATTCCAGTGACCGACACGAGCAAATTCGTCTTCTTACTCTGGCTCCACCTGAATGGGGAAGAACGAAAGTTGAGGAATACTTCGGATGCTCTCGCTATTTGGCTCAAAAGAGCATCTCTCTTCGCGAGTCATACGGCAAGTTGGCCGTACCTGTTGACTGGCGCGGCAACACCTGTCTTGATCCGCTCCTTGCCCAAGAAATTATCGATTTCTACAGTGATGATGCCATTAGCCGTCAGTCTCCTAACAAACGTGATGTAATTCACGTTCAAAAGAATCCCGTTGCCATTCGACACATGTCAATGACTGTAGGTCAAGCCTATCAACTCTTTGTACAACAGTTGCAAGCCAAGCAGGAACTCAATTCTGTACAAAAATCGAGCTTTTACAACCTAAGACCAAAATGGATTAAGGTTAAGAAGCCACACGATGTTTGTACTTGCATTTATCATGAGAACTTCGAACTACTCATTCAGGTAGAATTCCACATAAAGGAACCCAGGATCTATTTTGTTTGATAGGGTTGGAACAAGCTGGATATCAACACCATGAATATGAAAAGTCTTATTGCTGAATGTGTGTGTTCTTCGCAAACGGAAACATGCTATTTTCGAGAGTGCGATGACTGCAAGTGGTTGCGGCCTGGTAGCTTTCTTTTCAGTGAGCTTCTGGATTGCCAGAATGTGACACTTGATGATAATGTTACTTGGATGACTTGGAAATCAGTGATTGTCTCCCTCTGTGCGTTGTTTACCTATAATCTAAAGTTGATTCTCTCCAGCCTGTGTCGACGAAGAGGGTGGGCGATGCTGACGACGAGCCGACCACAGTTGCAAAGATCTCAATGCAACGTGTCAGCGGCTCGATTCGTGATCTGCTTGAGGAGTTCGATGTCAAGTGGGCAAAGTTTGCTGTCCACCACTACTGCACTCGTCAACAGCAAGAGTGCGTTAAAAAGATTAAAGGAGAAGCTCGTGCAGATGGAACAGTGGTAATCCAAATGGACTTTGCCGAAAATCATTCGCTGATTGTTCAGCACGAGATCCAGCAAGCTCACTGGACAACCCCACAAGCCACCATTTTTACGGTGCACATAACTGTAGACAAAACCATTCAGCACAGCCTCGCTTTTATTAGCGATCACCTTGATCATAATATTGATTTTGTTCATGCTGCTCAAAGTGTAATTGTTCAATTCATTCGACATCGCTATTCCACCGTGAAACGAGTTAACTATATCACCGATGGAGCTCCTCAACACTTCAAGAGCAATAAATCGATGCTGAATTTAACTTATCACGAGAGTGACTTCGGAATTCCCGCCGCATGGACATTCTCTGCTACAGCACATGGGAAAAGTCCAGTTGACGGGATCGGGGCAGCTCTGAAATACCGTGCAACTCGTCGAGTACTCAGCGGACGACGAACAGATGCCATCCTAACGCCACAAGAGCTTTATCAATTCACTTCAACCGACACCAAGATCAATGTCTTTTATCTTAGTCGGCAAGATATAAAGCTAAACTCTGAGTCTATGAATCTGAGCAAACGACTAGCTCAAAAGGCTGTCAAAGGTCAGATCATCCTTTCTAACATTGATAAAAGATTTCCTTCCTTTTTTGACAGGTTGGATTCACGGAATTCGTACTTTTCATCAGTTCGATCCTTTGGCAGTGAATCGCATCAGTTGCCGTAAAACATCCAGTAGCTCAGACTCAAAAACATCCGCACTTTAACACGTTCTTCCGCGGTTTCTTCCTCTTCTCATGCTTGCAAAACCAGGCTTTTCTTATAATTAAAATATTAACATTGCAGTACCGATCTATTAACACATGTATCAATGGAAAATAGCATAGATCCAAGATAGTTCTTCAGAGATCTTTGTAGAATCTCGATAGATCCAAGGGATCTTCTACGTACTACTACGGCACAATCTATAAAACAAAGTTTTTTCACATATTTTTGGTCCAATTTGACAAAAAAAAAAATTATGATTTTTCAAAAACCCATGTTAGTTTTCTGGAGACCCTATCTCGGTGAAATCTTACTCCCGCCCGACAGCGCACATATGGTTCGATAGATCTTCTGATGCTCAATCAAATGAGATGTTCCACGAAGTCCAGAGTTCTCTATAAATGGAGTTTTTGCTCCTGGAATACTCGGCTATTGAAAAGGGTTTCCAGAGACTCTTCGTTCAGAGATGAGTCCAAAAATTTTTTTAAAAATAGTGATTCTGATAGCCCTGATGATAAGGAATCCAAATCTATCATCAGAATTTCGATATCACAAAGTAGTGCAAAACTAGCAGTGTTACAAAGAATAAGATACTTTAAAAAACCGTTCCGGAGGGTATTTGGTATTTTGGCTACAGCTCTTGAACAAGACGTCGTATAAATTTTGTCCAAGAGCAAAAAAGTCTTACAAGTGACTATTACACAAGCCCTGAAAGTTTCAAACGATTTGGTGAATGTTGTGTTTTTTTGTCACAAGTACCATGGAAGTAGCCTATACATATGCATGCTTGTGCTCTTGTTTTTGAAACAATACGCGAGTAGGACAATATAAATTTAGATTGAAATGAATAATCTAATTATATTTTCAAGAGAACGTTATCCAATATCATACATGGGTAAACATCCATTGACAATGCATCAATTGAAACATTTTTTTAATACATGTCGAATTCCACATAAAGAATGTGATGAATTAGTTAGTTCATTTCGAACTGGTTTGTTTGATTTTATATTGTAAATTTTTTTTTTTTCATATATCTATTTTATTTTTAAAAATAGTTTCTGAAGATGTTCAAACTCCACCAACTCATGTTGTAGTTATTCGTAATGGTCATCTATTTACATTTGATTTATATGAATCAAAAAAACTTCTTACACCACCGGAAATTCTTCAAAAACTTGACGATATTGTTAAACAAAGTAATCAAAGTCCTGGACTTGGATTAGGTGCTCTTACTGCATTACCACGTGATGAGTGGGCAGAAGTAAGTGAAAACAAATGATTATTTTATTAGTATTTAAATAAGTTTCAGATACGTGATCATTTATGTGAAATTAATGAACAAAATAAAATCAATTTTCAAATGATTGAACAAGCATTACTTGTTTATGCATTGGATGATGATAATCCTGAAAACATAACAGAGGTAGAGTAAATTAAACTTTCATTATGTCAACAAATCTACGAAGTTTATATTCGAGTTTTTGAAAATAGCTTTCTTAGATCTATGAAAGCTATGAATCTACAAATAAAAACTCTATTAGAGTCGAAAAAAGGCAGCGATTTTCTTTTTCTGCTACTACCTATGCCTAAAATATTTTCTTTTAATGCCGAAAGATAGAGAATTTCAATTTGTAAAACTCTGTTGACTTTTTTTTTCAAACAAATTTTCTTTGTAGGATCAAAGTTAAAAGCAACTCCGATTTCTTATTTTCTGCATACAATTATTGGTTTTTGTAAAACCTTGGCTCATCAAGACCGATAATAAAAGGAAATCGCTGAATATTAGTAGATGGCGAATTTTGGTCTCTATATTACTTCGACCGTTTGACGATCCATGTTAGTTCTATTCATCCAAACATGCAGTAGTTACGAAAGACTTCGTATGAGATAGCTAACGTTTCAGTAGGATCTTTATTAAAAAAAATCTGTCATCCGTTTTTCGTTGTCTTGACTAACACAGTTAGACGACTAAATGATTATTTATATTTTTAAATTTTGTGCCAATAAAGTTGCTTTGTTTGAAAAATGAAGTTCAAATACATTGACACTTAGTGCAATTCTTCCTAGAATGTTCGTTACTTCTGGTATATAATGAAAGACTGAATAGGAATACTTAGGTTGCTTGTATTGGTATGTTGAAAAATCCTCAATCACGTTGGTTTGATCGATCAAATGTTTATATTGTCACACAAAATGGTCTTATTGTAGCAAATGATGAAGTAGTTCTCTAATGTCTTATATTAAGATTTATTTCAAATAACTTTTATATTTAGCACTCAGCCTATGAAGGTATTATTCCAACACAAATCGGGGATCATATACAAAATCATATTGATTCTCTTGAAAAGATAAATTCATGGCCAATACTATCTGATCCTTATAATAAAATAATTGTTCGAGAAATTTTATTTATTTATGATTCACGTGTATTTGATGCTATCAATCGTGCAATTAAGTTATTTTATCATTCAGCAGATAATATCGAAATTAAAGCTATTAATGTAACTCAATGTACAAAAGAAGATATTAAACAATATGTTCGCATTCATCCAGATACTTTTTTTCAATTATGTCTTCAACTAGCTTATTTTAAATTACATGAACATAAACCTGCACCAACTTATGAAACAGCATCAACAAGACGTTTTTATCGTGGAAGAACTGAAACAGCACGAACTTGTACACCAGAAGTAGTTGCATGGTGTCGTGCAATGACAAATTCAAATAATCAAATACCAGTAAAATTTTTTTTTTCTTATGTTTGTCATACAGTTGAGATATATAGGAAATTGAAAAACGAAAATTATTTCTTATTGCTGCTAATCGTCATCAAGAAGTAATGACTGAAGCATCGGAAAATCAAGGTTGTGATCGACATTTATTTGGATTGAGTATGATAGCATATATAACAGGCAAACCTTTCGAACTCGCAAATGATCCATCATGGATAAAAAGGTTTAAAAAAAAAAAGATTTATTACTTTTTAAATCGTTTTGTCTTTAGTGGTGGAGGTGGTAATTTTATTCTATCTACAAGTTGTAGTGGTTTCACTATAACAGTAGGTGGAACATCACCAATGTGTTTAAATGGTTATGGAGTGTTTTATCGACTTGGTAGTGATGCGTACGTAAAAACAAATATGATCATAATGATTTATTTATGTATTTATTTATTATAGAGTAACATTTGTTGTCACTGCGTATCGAAGTTGTTCGGATACAAATGCACAAGCATTGGCAGATTCGATTGAAAGTACTTTAATTGACATGAAAACGTCTTTTATGAAATCAAATTTGTAAATGTAAAGTGTTTTTTATGGGATAATAAAATTAGGGGACTTAATTTTTTTTTTCTAATGAGTTGTTTACTTCCATTGAATTTATATAAATATCACTAGTCTTGACAAATTTTATAAATATATCTAACGATATAAGTAGAGTGCATCAGGTTGGTTGCAAACCTGATCAGTTCTAGTCACCGAATAGAAAAAAAAATCGGAAAAAATTATCTCATGTCTTTGAGACGGCTCATCCAGTCCATGAATAAAAAATGACAAAAAAAACGATCACGCAAAATGAAAAACAGCCATTGTTCAATAATGCAATGGATATTGTTTCTGATGGATTTTAAATTTCTGGATGAAAACCATTAAACATGCACAAAAACCTCACCATCGAAAGGATAATCAAAGAACTAACTTTTATTTCATCTGATTTAACTACACATCTAAGAGTTCATTTTATTCTATCGTCGCATATAGTGACAAAATATGTCACAAACTTTAGAAAATGCACAGCATAACATGGTCTTTGTGCTAACACATTCTGTTTGTTCAGAAAATGGTATATACAAATTAATCATTTTCATTACTTATTTTCAATAACCAACTGTAACATATTATGTTTCTCACATCAAAGTCATGGATGAATGGCATGACTTTGATGTCTATGAGATAACTGAAAATATGAAATTTTTCATATTATACTTTCGAAAATAACCATTTAAATGAATTTGTATTTTTTATTTTTAAGATCCATGGGTAGTTATTAAATTCATATGAAACTGGCCAAAGTAACATTGGCCATGAAGCTCAAACCTTAAGCTTTTAAGACAAAATTTTCCGACGCAATTTTCCTTAATCTACTTTAATTGTTTAACTGTATTTGATAACAGTGAATATGAGATGTCGCTTATTTATAACTTTAAGGGGTCTTGTTAGATGGTAGTGGGTGAGTTAATGCGTTTGAGGTCTCGCCATTTAATTGAAGAACTTTCGAGTAGATACTGCAAACTTGTTGAGTCTGTTTCCATGCATGCACGAGCTTCGCGCTTGACATGGTTCCACAAGGATAGTGCCTGGTCGCACGTGCAAATAGAATAGTCCTTTCTTTCATAAATTCAACGTGATATTTTTGAAGGAAAGAAAAAAAATTTCCCACCGTAATGAGTGTATTCAATTGAAAATCATTGAACTCGACGGTATGTAGGTGTGGTTGTGTTGTTGAAAAAACACCCACACTCACACCTATGTATCTTCAAAAATAAGAAGTAGTACCAAGAGCAACTCATCAATATGCATTCTGCATTTATTAGTATCTTACTGAGGCGACTGCGTCCGTAGTGCTACCAGCTATGAAACATAAATTACATACACAGTTGCATTATTGATCATCAATGGCATACTCATCCAATTCGATCACTAAAGCTCTCGTGAACTGCAGCGTTTACTGCATTCTAGCTAAATGATTGGCCTTCAGTTTCGCAAGTTCAGTTATTGGAAACAAGCCAGAGAGAATTATTAATGCGTTTTCTTTTCCGCTAAATGTTAATCACAGTTATTTTGAAAAAGGCTGTCGAGCAAACTCAATATTCACACGAATCGGTCGAGTATACAACGAAAACAGTGAATAAAGAGACACATGACACGTTCTACAGAATCAAATCGAATCAAATAATCAATTGTTCAATTTCCTTTAGTCTCTGATATACCCTCCAAATTTAACTCCGTCTTCATGCATTTCAATATTACGATTCGTTTTTGTCCCTATCTTGATTTATCTAATTCTTTCTAAGACTCTTTGGTTCTTCTCTGCCGTTCCTACAACAAGATGAACTGCATATGTGAGGGTGTATGAACGATGAAGAAATAAGTTTAAGAAAGATTTACTTTGTGCTTAAATCTGTAGATCACTGTTTGTTTTCTTGCTTTATAGCAGTGGACAGAGTTGTTGATTGAAACTCGGTACCGAATAACAAACAGGAAGATGATGGCATCGAGAATGATGAACGCACCTAGGGTTAGATTCACGACATAGGTTGTTTAAGGGTTCACATGGAACTAACTCAGAACAATCCACGAATTCATTGCCACAAATGCCAATGTCAATAGCACCTGCTATATGGAAACAGGCACATACACTATTTGACGAACATCGATCATATTGAGATTTCATTTTACTAAATTAATAACAGGATATGTAAAATGAAACAAAAATCAAACCTGCAAAGCTTAAAATGGAGATAAAAATATATTTTAGAATTACCTGAATAGAAGGAATATGAAACAACGGATTACTGTTCAAAGCATAGCTTGTGTTAAAATGACACAGAATAACGATGACATTCATCTTTATATCTAATGAAGATATGACATTTTTCGCATTCGCTGAAGATGAGTATTGTTTTTGTCAATCATTGACGAAGTATGTAATGACAGCTTAGAACAACTTTAAGAACAAACTTTGTTTTTAATATTGGTACTTTTATTATCAGCAGCTTACGAAAATTTGGATCTTGAATAAATCAAAGTCACATTCTATAGCCAGCTACATTATTCATACATTGGACTGTGTCTTCATTGAATCTCAAGGGTTTACTTGTTCGCTTTCATCTTCGAATATCATTTTTGATATAAGTAAGCCGAGCTTAAGAAAAAATCTTCGAAAATAGTGAAGTAGCTCCGCATTTAACAAAAAGTGAGACTTTTTGCAAGCAAACAAGTTATTTCACTGATGAAAATTTTTCTGATGGTTTGTTCTCTTCGTATAAAGAATTTCCATTCGTGATACAATTCTAAAAAGATCTCTTCAGAAAAATGTTTATGTTCATTCGGTTCAGTCATGTTCAACTTTTTTCTTAAATATGTTGGTTTTTTGTGAGACGATATGAACATGCTTACTGTAAAAAGAAAATAAATACAAGTTCTGTCTAGTAATGCTGAGCCATCAAATGCTATCTGCTCAAATATGTGGACCAACAAAGTTCTATTTCATAATACTGAATCTTGAAGAGTTTTGTCAAAAAAATGAGAAATTGTAAAAGGTGCTCTATTCAAAGATATTGACGGGAAACAGCCGCAAAAATTTGAACTTAAGACTTGTACTCACTATTTTTCGTCGAAAATGAACATGAGTTCCACAACAAAAGAATAATTCACTGGAACAACGAACGTTTTTCACAAAAGAAGTTTTAATACAGAAATAGGAGACAAGTAGAAGAAGGCGATTGTTGACAGGATGCCATTTATGGATACTCTCCATGATAAAAACAAACATAATATATAAGATCATTGACAAATCTGTTGATCAAGCTTGATATTTATTTCTCAAAGATCATGATTATTTTGTACAATCCTTTCAAACTTTTGACATAAAATTAAATAAGTTTTTAATAGTTGATCTTGTGACTTCAGCAGAAAAGTGTCATCTGTCAACAACTTGCATTTCACTCATATTTACAAGGAATCATTAGATAAGTATTATATACAGAGAGAAGAAAAAAAAAACTAATTTATATAATGAAAATTTTAGAGTAATGATGACATATTATGAATATAACACTGTCAATAGATTTGTTCAAGAGCTGTTACCAATGCTGGTGCAATAGCTCTCCGTCGACATCCTTTTATTTTCAGCCATATTGTTTTCCATGATTGAAAAAATCGAACGTCAAGTACAGTAATAAAAATTGGATCAGTCTGTATTTCTACATAATTGAGCAAAGAAATATAAATGCCAGGTTTGGTATTAACATTAATAAATTGAAAAGCAAGTACATTTGGACTCCATAGTACAAGCCAAATTGAATAAAATATTATTGTGCGCATTAAAAGATTTTTTTTATGTTTACGACGAAGATTAATTATTTGTTGACTATGAATACCTTTTATTGAACTTACATGACGAATACAAAATGCAATGACAATAAGATTCAAAGCAACTGGAATAATATAGATGATGAATAGATTAAATATCTCTATAGCTAAAGAACTATATACTATATCGCAAGACTCGCCTGCTGTACGCAACAATATAGTCCAATTACCAAAAATTTGTATGGTGATATTAAGTGCTGGTAATATATAAATTAAAAAATGAGTTAAAATAATTAAACGAGAATTGTTTATAAAAACATTTCGATTAAATATAATTTGTGCACCACGACATATATTTAACGCTAGCAAAATATAACTTTGTACTATATTAATATAAAATTTTGATGTTGCTTCAAAATAACATAAGATTAATTGAAATGTTGGATGTAAGCACACATGCCACTGACGCATAAAATAGAAAATAAAAAATCGAGTTAAAAGAAAAAGATCCGTTAATAGATATGCATATAACCACATCATATTTCTTTGTCTTAATGATGAAATTGTCATAACTCGAATCCAAAAGAAAGTATGAATAAGAACAGCTATTGAACAAACGACAATAGTAGAACTGAGATCATAGACGGACTTCGACGACCAATTTAGAGAAGTACAATTCATTCTTTTTCTGTCACAACTATTCTCTATAAAAGATTTTGTATTCTGTAAAGAAAATTGCTCTGAGTATAAGTCACTTCGATAGTAACATCTTTAAAATGACAATTAGTGTGAAAGGGTTAATTGTAATAAAAATAGAAAGAAAAATGAAATAATCACGGTAACAATAAACTAGCTTAACGTCATCATTTGTAATGATGCTTATGAACATTCGTATCTTCCAAATGTGACTACTTCACATATAACACACGTTTACATAGGAGAGAGAAAGAGAGATGACCATATGAAAGAAGAACAGGAAAGGAAAAGTCTGCGGGAAATGATAGTATTATCGGCATAGCTATCTCATTATTATTATCATCATACATCATCAAATTTGATGATTTGTTTTAGACGACGTCATAATTCTATTTGAATCAGTACGACCTATCTTATTATAGACTCTATAACCGCGTAAACGATAAGCAAGTCATTTTAAAAAATAAGAACATTTTTAATGTTTTTACTTGCTATGATATTTCTCGTTGT